GTCCTACATCAAAGGAGGCTTATTTTTTAACAAAGTTATTCTCTGCTCTTGTGATCCTCTCATTGTAAATGCAATTAGGGTTAATTACCCACCTGTGTTGGGATTCTTGTAGTGGTGCAGAACAGATAATTACAGTTCAGGTATGCATTAACTAACTTTTGTTAACAATTAATCACTGTTTACACACTGGACACTGTTCTCTTTGTAACTAATGATCAGTTCTAGAAATGAGTAATCTCATCTTAACCCAGGTAAAGCAAAAGAGAGCCTATGTTTCTAACGCTTGCATATAATGGGAACGGCATGAAGCAAAGCTGCGAGTGATCAGTGGTTTCAGAGATATAACTACCACATACTCGAGGAGCTAAGGTGTCACAGCACGTGTTAGATGTGAGTGTGATGTTAATGTGTGAGATTTTTCAAGACTCATTAATGAAGACATGAGGGTTTTTTTTCAAATAAGGAGCACACACTAGACTTTAAACAACATAAATTATTTCAGACACTGAAAAGAATATAAGCAACAAAATATGATCTCACACAACATCTAAATACAAAATAGTACAAAAGAATCAAACACTGATATACGTATAAACATTTAGAATATGTGGTTTAAGTTTTGTGAGTCTTGAGCATCAAGGCTGAATGTATCTGATCAAAAATACAGTAAAAACAGTGATACTTTGAAGTACTATTACAATATAAAATAACTATTTTCTATTTTAAAATGTAAAAATGCAGAATTTTCAGCAGCCATTACTAAGGATGCACGATATTGGATTTTTGCAGATATCCGATATGCCGATATTTTTAAACTACTTTTGGTCGATACAGATACCGGTATATTTCCTTTTGTTTGGAAACAACACCAAGTCTCGAAGCTTTGAAAATAACTATAAATAAACTATATATCAATCGCTGCATCTTTTTTCCCAGAAAGATGCAGTGTTAACCCTAACATTTTATTCTAAGATTTAACATTTGTAGATGGTCTAAAGCAAAATAGTTGTAAAAATTCTGAAAATCTTTTAGAGCTTATGATTTGTTTTAAAAATAAAACATATTACACATTAATGAATAAATCAGTATATATAAAATTATTTAATTTACAAGTGTTATGTTTGTGATTTTTTTTCATGTAAGCTATAGCTTCTGACCTTTAAATCAAAACATACTCATTATTTTATGACATCAATTACTGTTTTATTTAATCAGAAATACAGTTTAAATGTTATTTGTGTAGGCTATTTTACTTTTAATTTAATTAGAAGTAGGCCAACGGCGCCCCCTACAGATTGAAACTAACTTACAAACGGGCATTAGGACCTGGGGGAGGCTGCCGCTGCTGCCACTGCTGGCTATTACTGTTTACTCTATCATACAAGGAATACTCATTCTGTAGATGCGTTCACAGATTAAATGCAGCAATCCAAAAGAGTGAATCTAATCATCATTCAGACAAAACTTTGCTTCAAGAATGAGCCACACTGCTGACGTGATCTAATCACTAGCACACCCTGAGCACATGTGAGTTAATGTATTCCTCTTATCGGCAAGACATATCTGCATAATGTTCCATATCGGCCAATGCCGATATTTACATTTAAAGCCATTATCGTTTGATTCCGATATCGGCCCGATAATATCTTGCATCCCTAGCCATTATTCCAGCCTCCAGCGTCACATGATCTTTCAGAAATCATTCTAATAGGCAGATTATTTATATTATTTAAATTGACATCTTTATGGTTATTAAACACGAATATACGAATAAACATATTGTTATATATAATTGCACTAATACATATAAATTGTAAATATAAACCATCTACTCTGTTTCATGTGCCTATGCAAGCCAATTGTTTGTTGCTCTTTTTAATTTAATTTAATATTCTTCTAAACCTAATCTCAAGCAAAGCAAAATGAGCATTTCCTCCATGTTTGATCCTCAGCCAATACGTTTAAAATGTTTATATCATCTTTTTACTACAATAATTTGTAAGGCCAGCGTTCACCGAACTTGAACTTTTGCATGCAGCATGAGAAAGAATTCTTAGCATATCCTTATGAATGGAGGTGAATAAAACACAAAAGTCTGGCGTGACCACCCCTTTAAACTAATATCATGTTACACCCCGGCTTTAAAACATGAGATACACATCACAGGTCTGAGATTCAGCCCATCAGGGCCAGACGGCTCGATCACACACACACACACACACACACACTCACACACACACACACACACACACACTCACACACACACACACACACACACACTCACACACACACACACACACACACACTCACACACACACACACACACACACACTCACACACACACACACACACACACACTCACACACACACACACACACACACACTCACACACACACACACACACACACACTCACACACACACACACACACACAGAGACTGTAGCCTGACATTGGCATTGTTTCTGTTTGTAATCCATCCAAATGCTCGTCTAGGCTTCCTCTACTGTTCAGTTCAGTTGTGCTGACAATTGGCTTCAGCACCTAGAGTGTCTGACTGTGGGTCAGTGTGGGCATAAGTCTCAACTCCCCTTACCCAGTGCTGGCGGACCAGGGGGCTTTTCAGGAGATTTGTTCCAGTTTATCTGCATATTTCAACTGGCTTTAGTGTGTTGCTAACTGATAAAATGCTGCCAGTCTCCCCGAGCTCTGCCAATGCTGAGGCTCACTGACCTTCCACTGAAGATTCCTTTTGAACGAGGGGGAAAAGGGGGTGGAAGAGACAAAAAATAAAGGGAAAAATCCAGGCGGGTGGAAGAAGGCTCCAAGTTTTATCACGTTGGGAACAAAAAAACAGAGTCATCAGAAGACCTTCCCTTTCCAAACACACATGTGCATAATATCCACACACATGAGCATACAAAATACCAGCATGGTAAGTCGGTACCAGCATGGCTTCATAGATGATTAAGTGTAACTGACAAGCTGCTCTGTCTTGCCATAAACCCACCTGCACAAGTAAAACCAGCATAGCTATCATGAAAACATAGCCACACACCGTGTAAAAAAGACTGTGTGTGGGAATGACACGCAAAACCTAAAACCAGCTTAATTGTGGGGACCAGCCAGTGGTGCTTATAGAGAAACATCTTAAACATGCTAATTATTTTCTTAATAAAAATAAATAAATAAAAATAATAATATTTTTTTGAGGATTAATTAAAATAATATTTTGTATATTCATCAAATATACTGACAATAGTCAAATGCCAGTCACTGTAATAATGCTGATGTCTTTGGTTTGCTATTAAATTGTGAGTCTTGGGGACTAATAAGTAATAATAAAATATAAATCATAAAAATGTAATGCCCAAAATGTGAGAATCAAATCCCTAACTCCTCTAGCATTGCAGCTAGAAAATTAAACCATCAAACCCCAATGAATTGGTCAAAGAGATAAATCTTGCCGGTGATGACAAAATATTTGTATTCTTTTATGATTATTTTATATTGCACTACTCATAACCATAACTGACTGCAGTCAGCTGGGGAAGAAAAATAACTGTAGGGACACTCAAAACAAGATCCATAAAAGATTGCATCACGCTCTCTATAAATGTAGGAGATGGGTAAAAATGTGAACTTGGAACCAATGCCATGCACAAACACAAAAGCCCACATAGTTCAATGATGGTTTACTTGGATAATACCCAACCCACCCTCACCCCAAATCCAGATTACAGTAAAATCAGGGAAGTATTGTACTCGCTACAAAAGCACACGTGAAAATATCAAATAACATTTTATAACACTGTCAGACAGTATAACATCTTACAAAGCCAAGTCAAAGTATGGGCAGCTCTTAATCTCTTTAGTGCAGGGGTGATGGCCAGGTGAACCTCATCATCTCCCTGCTCTGGATTATAGATTACAGCCGTAATCCGGAATTAAGGACATGCCTCAATATACTAAAAACAACCAAGCTAAACTATTTGAAAACACTGATGCATGATTAAAATATACACATTTTAATAAAAAGGCAAGAACTAGGATTTCAAAGGTTGTGGCCTTCAATCACTTTAAGATGAGCGCCATCTACCAGTTCAGATATCACATTCCTTATATTTATCATTTATGGATCAGTAGATGCCTACAACAATATGGCATGCAACTAACTCAACTAACCTGTTTTAAGGAAGCACGGCATATTTAGACTAATGCAGACCAGTTAATTAGACTAGTTTTAAATTTACCTGACCCAGATAAATATTTTTCTTAGGGGGATTTTTACATATGACAAATTCCTACATTCACAGATTGGAAAGAAGGTCTCAAGACACATTTTAAAAGTTGGAATACAGTGCAAGATGAGACATAACGGTCGAATGTGTTGGGCTGTAACACTGGTGCTTTTAAGGGGATCTAACAACACTAATTAAAGCACAAATAAATAAATAAACAATAAAGAAAATGACAAATTAGTCAACCTCACAAAAGCAACTAGTCAGTCATCGGAGTCAACCATTGTGACCTGTCTACACATTGACTATTATATTACTTCAGAACACAAAGTTTAAAACTAACCAAGTGTGGTACAGATAGACATCAGCCAATTGTAAATAAATACACCAAATTATGTTCAATTCCATCTATGGGGGCCATTATAACAAAGGAAAAGCTTGATTTGGCAAGTTTTCCCTTTGATGCAAGTGCTATTATAGGCTATCCTACAGCAGGGGTGTCCAATCCTACTTCTGGAGGGCCAATATCCTGCAGATTTTAGCTTCAACCTGCCCCAACATGCCTGGAAGTTTGCAGTGATCTAAAGACCTTCATTAGCATGGTGAAGTCTGTTTAATTAGGATCTAAGCAAAACTCTGCAAGATAGTGGCCCTCTCGAAGCAGGATTGGACAGCTTTGTCCTAAAAACAGACTTGGTTACCAATGTGAAAAGGGTAAAATATGTGAAATATGGATTGTGTGGTGTAGATATGGTTGCTTACCTGCTGAAACACGAGGGCAATCATTAAGCATGGGGTCCACCAGAGTATCCAGGGGCTCAGGACTTGACACCCAGTTACAGCAGTGCTGTGAGAAGAAAAAAGGGGGGAGAGAGACAGGAGCAAGCAATTAGGTACCTTAGAGACATGTCACATTGACAGTTTCGACTGTTTTTGTTGGGCAGGAGCGGGCACACCACTGGTGGCCCTCCAAGGAGTGTTTTCTTGGCCTAGTGACCTTGCCAAAGCTCCCAATGCCATCATCCCGGCCCCTGAGACCCCATCTCTCAACTCAATCTTCAAGACCGAGTGTTTGTCTTCAGCTAAAACAGGTTTAATTAGGCATGTTTGGTTGAAAAAAAATCATCATACCCTCAAGCTAATAATGTATTGGATGTTTTCAATAAGTGCATACTGGCAGAACGTGTATTATGGAAACAATTGTACTGTTTAGATGGGGTGCACAGTTGAAAAAAAGTTACAAAGGCATGCATGGAAAAGCGGGGTCTGGAGATAAGATAAAACATGCTGAATAGAAGACAGAGAAATTCAAGTGAGATTAGCGTATTGCAGCTGGCGTCCTTGTGAAGCACAGCTTATCTAGGGTTGTTTACTTTCGCAGACATAGTACTATCGAGGGGACTGCGACCCACCTGTCCACACAAACACACATAGAAATGGACAGAAAGACAGACAGATACCCACAAACACAACGCTATCTAACCCTCAACCAACTCCCAAGACGACCTCCCCTGACAGAGCAGAGAGGGACGATTCCACCACCCCAGACACCCCACAAAAGACACTCGCATACATAAGCACACACATGTCAGAGCCCCAGGTCACATCACACCTCAGCCTGTCAACCTCCTTCACCTCTGAGCTCTGTGTCACCCCAGGGGTCACCACACTCCCACCCAACAGGGACGGTATGTGTATGTGTGTGTGTTTGGCCAACAGGAAAGGGGCATATATTGGGAAGCACAGGAATTAGATTTTTAATTCCATCAATCTTTTTGGCCATGTCATCTTTGGTTAACATATAATAATGTGTAAAATGATAAATCAATTCAAGAAACAACAGGATTCTGAAATCTGGGGTGGTAGTGGCAGCAACAATTATGTTAGTGGTCTAGAGTTTAGATAAGACTGTGAAATCCAGTGGATGACAGAAGTGTAAACACTAACAATAATGCAAATACTCTCAACAGGAAACTGAGATGCACAAATAAAGACACTCTTTAATACAGCAATAAGCCACAAGTCCATTTATTACAGTGATTAACAAAGTTAAAGGGGTCATATGATGCGATTTCAATTTTTCCTTTCTCTTTGGAGTGTTACAAGCTCTTGGTGCATAAAGAAGATCTGTAAAGTTGCAAAGACTAAAGTCCAAAGAGATATTCTTTACAAAAGTTAAGAGTCAACCACGCCTACCTAAAACGGGTCATTCTAACACGCCCCCACATATCTACGTCACGATGTGGGAAGATTTGCATAACCCCGCCCAAATGTTCACGCAAAGAAAGAAGGCGTGAACTTATTCTCGCTGTAGTATTTTTGTTGCCGTCACACGCTTGAGGTATTCGGCCAATCACAACGCACTGGATAGCTGGCCAATCAGAGCACACCTCGCTTTTCAGACCGATGAGCTTTGTAAAAATCAACGCGTTTCAGAAAGGCGGGGCATAGAGGAGAAACAATAATGTACAGTATGTGGAAAATCATGTTTTTTGAACCTTAAACCGCATAAACACATTTCATTACACCAAATGCACAAAATAATGTTCTTTTTAGCAACATCATATGACCCCTTTAAAAGGTGCGTTAAGGAGAGTGTCTAAAATTGTTGGTACTTTTATAGATACTACCATTAAAAAATGTGAAGTCTTAAACTCACTAAAGATACATTTACAATATTTGAAGTAAAATAATAAAATAGAATAGTGTTCCTGTGGCTCAGTGGTAGAGCACTGCGTTAGCAGCGCAAAAGGTTGTGGGTTTGGTTCCCAGGGAAAACATACTGGTAAAAAATGTATAGTCTGAATGCACTCAAAGTCACTTTGGATAAAAGTGTCAGCTAAATGCATAAATTATTATTTTTTATTATTATTTAATATATTTTAAAATGTAATTTATTTTTGGGATGACAAATCTAAATTTTCTGCAACCATTACTCAAGGCTTCAATGGCGCATGGCCCTTCAGAAAACATTCTAATATCCTGACTGTTGCTCAAGAGCAGAATGTTCAAAAGAACATTGTTTATTTGAAATATATATATTTTTGTAACAATATAAAAGCCTTTATTATCACTTCTGATCAATTAGATACATCTTTACTTAATAAAAATATGAATTAATTTATATTTTTAATATAATAATAAAATTACTGGCTGCAAACTTTTGAACTATAAATACACATACTAAATATATTAGGGAAAAATGTAAGATTCAATATAGTTTGTTGTTGCTTTTGTAATTAATAATAATAATACATATACACACATACATACATATATATATATATATATATATATATATATATATATATATATATATATATATACACACACACACACACACATGTATACATACATGCAACAACAATAACAATAAAAATAAAACAACAAACAATATCATATTATTTTTTTTTTCAAGCTCAATTACTGCTGCAATACATAGCCATCGCTTTCCTTACATGCTGCATGGCACTGAAAGTCAGGGGGGAAAAAGCCCTGTGCCATGGCTCTGGAGTTCTCCTCTCATTTCTCTTGTCTTTATTCTCCTCTCTTAATCCTGTCAATCGCCTGCATGCCTGGGTTGGGGGAGAAGACAACTGCCATTGGAATGAACAGGCATGCATTGTGTATTTTTAGAATTCCTGCTGCCCTAGTTGTGCACCATGGAGCCGGGCCAATGAGAGGAGCGCTCCCTGACTGCTGCATAAAGTGTCTTATTGTACAATCTTAATTCATGCCGTCTGGAGAAAGATGTCAGCTGGGCTGGAAGCAAGGGCAGGAATTTCAAAGACCGGAGTCCCAGCCAGAGTGAGTGGCAAAGAGGCGGGGGGTGGGAAGAGGCTTCAACAGATTTGTCAGAGCTGGCTGATGCACCAGGATGAGTTTTAGATGAAACAGAAGGCCAAGGCCACTATGTAAGAGGATGACATAGCTTTAAAAGAACAGATTAAAAAAAACAAGAATGGTGGAAGGATTTTTTTGGGGTAGAGGAGCTGGGTTGAGCTTTTGGAAGTGTTCCAATCTTTTTGTGAAATCTGATGGCTTGTGGTTGCCTTGAATAGCATAAAAATGACAATTTATTCCAACTACATTCTCAAAATATGTCCCTTTAGCTAATAAATCATTTCATAGAAGTGCCTGATAATACAAGTAAAAACCAAGAATTAAATAGACAAATTGGAAATGAACAAATACATACGAAGGTCTGGGAACCATGGCTGCTTTGAATGGCCATGGCCTGCTCAAGAGCCCATATGATTGACAGGTAAAGCAATCAATCATGTTTTATTTTGTGCTGACTCATGTTTAGGGGTGTGGAAATGTCCTCACAATAACAGACCAGTGTGTAAAACTCTTAGACGCATTTTAAAGAGACTATGCCGTGAACTTTACATACTTTTGAAAATCCAGTGTTTAGCTGATCCTGATAAGCGCTCATTGTCACAGCTGCAAACACGACAGCTTTCTTCTTCCATGAGGTTTTGGCGTAATGGAATCTATGTTTCCAGGTGGAACCTTAAAGAATGTGACACACACGTCTCCCGAAAATTCAGTAGAATTCAACTAAATCAGATGACGACTTCAAAACTCCAGTTTCCATTTTTTTTGTGTCATATTAATCAGACGTTCAGCCAAAGGTCTGCGGGCATGACTTCTGAGGCTGAGACTACAATCATAAATACACTGATTTATGATGCAAATAGTTTTTTGTTATTGTTTTAGTTACTTACCAAATCTTAAATATCCCACATTCACAAAAAATTGCTTACATCTGTGTTGTAAAATAAGGTGGATAAAGAGAAAAGAATCAAGAACAGAATTAGGGATGGGTCAGGATCCAGTGGATCTGGATTTTTGGTTTAGCTTAAACAGATAGTTCAATCAAAAACAAAATTCTCTCATCATTTATTCACCCTCATATCATTCCAACCCTGTATGACTTTTCTTCTGTGGAACAATGTAGAAGTTACTTTGAAAAATGCAATTATCCTTTATATTAATGCTGTTGTTTTGGACACCACTGACATTCAGTGTATGGTCTAAAACGGTTTTAAAAATTCTTCAAAATGTTGATGACAGAATTTTCATTTCAGAGTGAACTAATTCTTTAGATATTTTAGTCAACGTGCTGTACAAGCAATGAATTTAGAGATTTTAGTTTTTCCAACTTCTTGGATTTTAGTATGCAGCCAGTATGTTCAGATAACCCAACGACTAGTTCATCATAAAAAATATCTAGTTTTTCACATTCTTGCACAGAATATAGCTATAACCTTGTGTTTAAATATGATGTCTCAACACACATCTGAACTAAATACATTTATCTGTCAGAGTTTTTGAATGCTCTGCAACACTTTCAAATTCCATCCCAGCTGAAGCCACACAAAATGAAAACGACAAACGGACACAAATGTGTGATAATCGTCTATGGTGAGGCCCATCAGAATTAATCAGGGCCATATGGTTGTGGTATTCCCGGCTCTTCTGGGCTGGGAGATGGGGTGCTGGAGCATGGTGGGACTCTAAGCGGACTCCTAATGGCCCAGTTAGAGAAGGTAAACGGAAGACAGGTGTTGGATCCCACTGAGAGTGTTCGCTCTCCTACCTGCACTTATTAAGCATCTCTGCGTCTGGCCTCCTATCCTTTAGCTGCCCTTTAACATGCCGCATTCTGCTCAGTCAGTCCCAGTTGCACTGTGGTGCATCACACCTCAGCCACTGTATTCTACAAGACAGACGAGTGTCTTGGGCAATAAGCTGCCACGTGCCCAAATTGCTCAGAAGTACTCTATAAAAAGGAAATGTAAAAATGCCTCATTAGGCCCATATATTCACCAAAGCAATATATTTAGGATGCTTAATATGTGAAATGAACTATGCTATCTTTGCTTCTGAGACATAATCACATTACAAAGCAAAGTTATCTGGGATATAGTTTTAGAAGGCTGTACACAGACATCAGACACAAACCTCAAGAACAGCAACAAGCAACAAATGTAAAACGTAATAAGTAATAGTTCACCCAAAAATAAAAATTTGCACTTCTGTGTATACCTAATGTGATGTGCTCTGTGTATGTGTATATGAGAATATAAACCTAAATTTAATATTTTCATCATCAAAAAAAGACTAGTATCTCTTCACAAGACCACTCAATTTATATGGATTCAATTTACAGTGCCTTTATGACCTTTTCAGATCTTCTAAGCTTTGTTTCGCTGGACTTTCAATGGAGGGACAGAAACCTCTTCAGGTTTTATTAGAAATACATTCATTTGTGTTTTGAAGAAGTCTTCTGGTCTTTCTTCAGTTTGGAATGACATAGGGTGAGTAAATGATGACAGAATTTTCATTTTTGGGCAAAATAACCCTTCAACATCACAAAACAACAAATAACTAACAACACTGAAAAAAAAACGGCAAACCAATAATCCTAAACCAGTAACTGCATAATTTATTCATGCTGCAGTGCATGCTGGTAACTCACAAACCCTTAAAATTTCAGCAATACTGAGTAATTTCAAAGTCTTTGTTCAGAAAACTGTTTGACTAGTTAAGACAACATTTGGGGAAATTCTGATCTAACACGGGATTTTATCTAGCTTCCAATAATTCATGTTTCTTAAGATTTGTGACTCGAAAAGGTCCCATAAAATGCAATATATGTAGCCTTTTTTTTTGAGTGTCTGCTGTTTTGCTGCTGTGTAAGGTCTACTTCTCTCTCAACTAGTACGTACTAGTATGTTGTGTTTATATTTTTAGCTTTTTTTGTCATTTATCTTTCCATCACTGCAGCTTTCCAGCCACTGCAGGTATTCTCATGGACAACGGATATTTCTCTACTCTATTTCTCTCTTCTCTCTCTATGTCCTAGGAGATTTTCTCTCACCATTTCTTCCCCTTCAGTATATACCACTGCTTCCCGAGGGACTCTCGTCCTCCTTCAGGTTGCTCTGTTTATGTCTGTCTTCCCCGTGTCTTCCCTTCCCCCTCTCTCTCCCTCATATGCCCTTAGTCTGACCCATTATCGCCACATCACCTGTCCTACTGCGCTATCGTCCTGAAAATCCCTCCAATTCTCAGCTCTCATCCCTCCATCTCCACCTCCCTCAGGAGGAGAAGGGGAATTACCACCCCCTGCACGAAAGAGCATCACCTCCGACAAACCCCTACAGAGATGCCTGCCTGGCCAGAAACAGTGATCTCAAACCTGAATAATGTCCAAATCATGATTGCTATGGACGTTACTATGGAAGGAGATGGGGTCCTGACCCTGATTAAAGACAGGTCTACGGTGGAGACACAGGCAGTGGGAAATCTGAACGTCTTTACACAACCCTGGTCCCAATTCCTGCAGGAGTAAAAAGGATTAGGGGGTTAACGGGTGACACGAAAGGACTGAAAGTGACTTTAACATTCCTGAAGTGAGAGTCCACCCTCTGGCTTCAATTATTGGGATGAATTAGATCTGAAAATCAATTAAATAAAATGCTCGACCTCATCTGTGTTAATCAGGCCCCCTGACAAATTAATATTTTGGTGTCCTCAATGTTTGGCAGCACTTGCGAGTGTGTGAGAACGTACAAAGCCTTTTCTTCTGCCATTAATAATAGTCTGTGCAAGCAAGCCACTTTAACTGGATAGTTCACCAAAAAATAAATAAATACTATCATCATTTACGTATCTTCACGTCGGCTCAAACCTCTATGATTTTCTTCTGTGGAACACAAAATAAGACACATATTTTTTAAATATTTCTTGCCCATACAGTCAAGGCCAGCATTGTTTTGGACCCCACTGACTTTTATTGCATAGACAAAAACATTTTTCAGAATATATTTTTTGTGTTCCACATAAGTCATACAGGTTTAGAAAGTGTTTTTCTACAGGTTTTATGTTAATAATAGGCATGCTAATAAGCAACTAGTTAATAGTGAGAATTGTTCCCTATACTGAAGTGTTACCAACATTTTAAATCAGCAATCCAATCTGACAATTGTATCTTAAATTGTGCTTCTTTATCTTAAATCACACTGAACAGCTGTATTTTTTAGGCTCTTTTAACTTAAAGGCAGGACTACTATTACTACAGCTGTCATATCAAGCATTACACACATTCTCACATTTATTATTCTGTGAGTGGTCTGTCTCCTCCTCCTTATGTCTCTAGTGTAAGTCACACCACCGGAACGTATAAGAAAGAACAAACCGACGACAACGTGTTCCTATTTTTGATGGACTTATTATTCAGGGCAAAAAAAATCACACGTATAAATCCCCTAGTATTCCAATTACACCAAATTGACACTTTTGCACTCATCAGAGAAAGAAAGAAAGAAAGAAAGAAAGAAAGAAAGAACACATAACTTGACAGGATGAAAGAGAAGAAAGAGCCCATGATCCGAACAGACCAAAAAAAATAAAATAAATTCACCAAGGCAAACAAAAGGCAAGCAAACATCTGACGGAGCAAAGCAGATCAGCAAAGACAAAGGAATGAAAGACATTTTTTTCTGGTGGGCTGGGTGGTCTGCTGTTGACGGAGAAAGCGGGTGAGAGGCGAGGGCGTTTGTTTGCGCTTGGCATTTGCATGGCTGGCTCCCCTGTAGCCCTGGCTTGGGATCCACTCTCTCATATTTATGTGCATATTGAGTGTTCCCAGGTGTTGTCTCTGGACTCGAGGTCATCGCTGAAAGGGCAGCAACTAAATAAAACTGACATACTAACAGAGCATCTGTCTGCGTGTGGCGGCGTTTGGCTTTGATTTCTTATTGACATCTGCCCAAACAGACAAACAAGAGTGTGGGATGAAAAACAAACTATTGGCTTTCCGTGACTCCTGCTTCTGGAGTGTATCTGCTCGCTGAATGAAATGCCAGGCTGTTTGAGCTGAGCTGTGTGGCCGATATTGATGCTGTGATTGAGAACATAAAGGTTTTGGCACATGATGTTGATGGAAGATTGTACCTCTCTGAGCCAGTCCCGAATGGACTTGTTGGCCTCCTGGTGCCAGACGTTATGGACAGAGTCAGTCATGGCCACCGCACGGACATGATTCTTCACTTCTGCTTCTCGCTGAATCATCTGAGTGGGAGAGAGATACGTTAGCAAATAGCATATGATATCATTGTTTCAAATTTACGGTGCTTTTCAGTTTTTACTAATGGAAATGCATCTTTTAGAGCATAATGTACTGTAGGATTCATCATTCAATAACCACGGTAAATATCAAAACACCGTCATGCATTTTCTGAACATGAAAACTGCTTCTGCAAGTGAAAAACATGTGAAGAGGTGCTGCTTTTCATCCTTGTATTTTAGATTGTGTGCAATCCAAAGGAGTCAGCCTGTCACGCTAACTATTCCATTCAAGATAAACGGCTAGAGAAAAAGGGCCGGTCTGACAACAATAGGTTAACAATCACTTTACGTGATCCATTTTACAGGAGCTACACCTGGCCTGGTGCTACATCAAAGTGTCCATAGTCATTTTAATACATTCCCCAAGCCCATTTAAATTAGAGGGACTGTATAGAGATAAATGGAATCTATTAAGGCACTAAGGACTAATACATCACACCGCTGATAAGCTTTTCTCAGGAGCATCCTCTTAAAGAAAAGGGGAGGAAGCACATGGCGGCTCACACGCGTGCCCTCACACACACACACACACACACACACACACACAGTGACTGAAACATGGCTAAAATGTCTTCCTGTTTCATTGATACCCAGGAGGCCAGCAAATTCAACCTTTTAAAAACTACTAAAAGTGTCAGTAAAGACAGCATTCATACTTTAGAAAGGTAACTAAATATCTTCCAGATATACATGGTTTAAAAAGCACTTGAAATAAAAAGAACCAAACAGAGATTGTGACTTTCTAGCAATTCTTGGTACACTGGTATCACATGACTGCAAAAGCATTAGAAGCATTAGGTGTTTTATTTATTATTATTATTTTTAATATTTGAAACTATATATGCTATTGAAACTACTGTGAAACATAAAATGTAATATTAAAAGTAGCTGTACAAGAAGAGCATTTCACTATGTTCTACAGTAAAGTTAATAATATTCCTTTTTGAAATTTTTTTTTCACTTTGTATTTTTTTTTATATAAATCTCTGAAGCCATTCAAATCTGTTACAGAATAAATTTTCTATTAATTTATTATTATTATTATCATCATCATCATTAAATGTATCTTTTTTGGCGTATTTAAAGTGTACTGATATAAAAAAACACATAAGGTTTAAAAACAAACTGTAATAAGTTTCAGTTTTAATAATAAGTTTAAGTGTAAGTAATACATTAAGTTTTTATACATTTACGGTAGGAAATTTACAAAATATCTTTATGGAACATGATCTTTATTTAATATCCTAATGATTTTTGGCATAAAACAAAAATAGATCATTTTGACCCATACAATGTATTGTTGGCTATTGCTATAAATATACCCGTGCTACCCTTGACTGGTTTTGTGGTCCAGGGTCACATATTATCTACAAAAATATTAAGCTGCACAACTGTTTTTGACTGATTACAAATAGGAAATATTTTGTGATCACCGAATCAACATGAAGGATAACGTAACAATGAAGACTGAAGTAATGACTCTGCCCTCAAAGGGACTAAATGAATATTCAAAAAGAAAACATTTATTTTAAATTATAATAATATTTCACAATATTACTGTTAGTCGGACTGTATGTTTGATTAAATAAATGCAGGCTTGGCGTGAATTAGAGACTTCTTTCAAAAACATGCAAAACACTTTTTTTAATACATCTGTGAAGTTAAGCCATTCAAATCTATAACAGAATACATTTTCTATTAATTTATTATTATTATTATCATCATCGCCATCATTAAATGTATCTTTTTTGGTTTATTTAAAGTTTACTGATATAAAAAAAAACACATAAGGTATAAAAACAAACTGTAATACATTAAAGATATTTACTTTGACGATCAACATTTCCTGAAGTGTTAGCATCTCCTTTTAATTTTTCTTACTTCAGATACAAAAATAAATAAGGCCCAGTTTTGTACTCTATTAGTGGGAATTGTATACTATTATAATGCTGCTGAATATTTAAATCACATAAAAAGGCTGTAATGGTATCTAATGACAGATTTACTCGTGCCATGACAAACGGCCTGACAAAATCATGTAAACACAACCTCAAAGCAAACATGGGCATAGGATATGAAAAGGAAAATGACAGAGAGCAGCTTTGATGTGTGTGAATCTGTGATGTTTTCCATTGGGAAAACTGAAACATGTGTACTAGATTTACAGCATCACACTGCTCTGATTGATGTCCTTCAGTGACAGTCGATGTGCTCCACACATGCTGTCTGCAACTGTCTTACCCACACACACATAACTTCAGAGAGCCCTTCACTGTGAACCTAAAAGTCCAAATGCCCTGTGGGCACAGCCAAGCACTGGAATTATTAAAAGAACATATGAACCAATGAAAAAATAAATAGTGTACTGTCAGGCCAGTCAACGCAAGGGAGCGAGCAAGAATGAAGGCACGCACGGGACCAAAGCCTTAAAACACTCGTAATCTACATTCCTCCGTACATTAGCTTAAGCATTATAGCACCACGTGAGCCGCTCTCTCAGCTGGTCTGTACCCATAAAAGAAAGAAACCGGGCAGCTGTGCTCATCAACCTCCTGCCCAGAAACAGCGCGAAGAAAAATCAAACATGTGGAAGTACTTGTTGCACTAAAATCAACAGAGACAGATGTTGAAACATTTGCTATCTCACTTCTGCCCTTTTCTTTGCACTTGAGCATCTGGCTTGAGGAGAGACAGGGGGAGAGGTGAAAGTGCGATGAAGGAGGCAACGAGACAGAGATGACATCCAGCCTCCGAGATGGAACGAAAACATCACTCCCTCATTTTCAACACGACTGTGTTAGCAGTCAAATTAGCATTTTCTAAAGAAACTAACAGTGCTCGAAAGGCACCAGAAAATGAGTGTTAAAGTTTTCGGTTCTGTAAAAAATGAAATGCTGCATTCGTTATGACTCTCAATACAAGTCTTTTTCTCAGTCGGCTGCTCACAAGAATCAACACGTAGTTACTATGCAGTGCAAAAGTAGCTGTAAATGGTTATAAAGCTGCAAGGAAGACAAATCACAATTCAGTATGCAAATAGATGTAAGAAAGAATACCAGTCACAATTCATTATGCACATCATATTGTGAAAACAACATGCACTAATGACGAATAAGACCGATACTGTGCATTAAAGAAAAAACTGACTATTTTGACTTCTTTTTGAATGTAATTATAGGCCCATTTATTTAGGAGTCAGTCCAATTTTTTAAAGAAGTTAATATTTTAATTCAGCAAGGATGCACTGAATTGTTTAAAAATGACAGCAAAGACTATCTACAGCAGGGATCCCCAAATCTGGCCCACGAGATCCACTTTCCTGCAGAGTTTAGCTCTAACCCTAATCAAACACACCTGAGCATGCTAATCAATGTCTTCAGGATCATTAGAAAATCACAGGTAGCTGAGTTTGATCAGGGTTGGAGCTAAACTCTGCAGCGCATTGGACCTCCAGGGTAAGATTTGAGGAACCCTGATCTATAGTATATATTAAATAAATGATGTTATTTTTTAACTTCATGTTCAGCAAAGAATGTATTATATGTGACCCTGGACAACAAAACCAGTCATAAGGGTAATTTGAAGGTAATCTGAAATTTAGATTTATACATCATCTGAAAGCTGAATAAATAAGCTTTCCATTGATGTGTGGCTTGTTAGGATATTTGGCCGAGATACAACTATTTGAAAATTTGGAATCTGAGGGTGCAAAAAATTCTAAATATTGAGAAAATCGCCTTTAAAGTTGTCCAAAAAGTTTTGATATATTTATGGTAGGAAATTTACAAAATATCTTCATGGAACATGATCATTACTTAATATCTTAAGTATCTTGTTTTCAACACTGGTTATAATAGGAAATATTTTGTGATCACCAAATCAACATTTCAGAAGGATCACGTGAAGACTGAAGACTGAAGTAATGGCTTTGCCTTCAAAGGGAATAAATGAATATTAAAATAGAAAACATTTATTTTAAATTCTAATAATATTTCACAATAGTCGTACTGTATGTTTGATCAAATAAATGCACGCTTGGTGTGAATTAGAGACTTCTTTCAAAAATATTAACAAAACTGTACTGACACCAAACACGAATAAACCCCTCTATCAGAAAGCTTTGAAGAATATCGGTTCAGTGCTACCTTGCAAGTACTATAATAAAGCCGGCACAACTCTCACAGGCAGGAGTTGGTATGGGCTGGTTGTTATTATATATTGTTTACACTAGGTGATTTTGAAAATGCCTTGATGTAGTAAATGGTCAGTCATGACATTCGGTCAAATAGAATCAAGGACAGCCAGCGGGAAACCTCTGAAGACAGCAGTTTTTCCTTCCTTTTCTCCAGATAAGTTCCATTAAGGCTGTTCCCTTCATCTGTCTTTTGCTACACAGCCCAGTTGCTATGAGACCCCAATCAGTAGAAACCCAATTAAAGACACAAGGATGATTTTGGACCAGCTAGCTGAAATTGTCTTTCCGATTTTGGCTAAATCCTGCAGCTGATGAGGACAAAATATCCCCGTTGTCATATATCCTCCCCCCAATCTCGCTCTCACTCTCTCCATCTGTTTGACCTCTTAAGTGACCTCTACTGTAAAATACAGCATTTAGCACTTTAAGTGGCTTCACGTCACGTAGTGAGCTAATTGCTCGACTTCAGTTGTTGAAAACCGCATTTTCCTTAATGAAGCTGACCGCAATGGAAGCGCTTCTTTATTTACCCCTGCATTTCGAACACAGAATAGTGTGAAACACACACACACAAGCAAATAGGAGAGTTTAACGATAAGAAAGGCGGGGAGGCGACTCTCGTGCGGCGATAAATACTCTGCCATTTCAGCCGTCCTGGCGACAAAAGCGAACGCTCTCCATGAGACTTACATGCAAACACACAAAAAATAAGACAATTATTTAGGGCTTTGATAATTACGTGTCAAAG